TATATATATATATATATATATATATATATATATATATATATATATAAAGAGGGAAAAGAAAACGATCTCATTCCTTTTTCAGGTAAATTGTTTGATATGAATTTAGATATAATTGTAGCCAGACTAGACTTTGTCATGATGCAAGATAATGTCTAGTGTAATATTTTCAGGATTGTAATGAACTGGTTTGAAAAATAAATCAGTTATTTTAAACTGATTTAGCACAAATGTCCTAAATCCCACAGAACCACTTTGGCACCCCTTGGATACTGCATACTTTGATATTTTAACTTACTAAATAACTTCAGAGAACTTAACATTTATTGAATGAAGAATGGGATAGGATCCTCTTAATATGATCCACTTATTAAATAGTTTGATATTGAATTTTAGATATTATTTATCTTTACTTTGAATATTAAAAAACGTTTCAAAGGACATAACAGTGAATGACATCAATGATACTATCATTGGGCAGACCCACAACACTTCATTCCGTACCACATATTCTTTACAATGTATTCGTTACTCAAATGTTACTAGGTAAAACTACAAATACTGTTAGCAAGGGAACCAAATAGAGTACTAAACCAATAGACAATTTGGGTATCAGTGTTGTACCTGAACGTGTCACAGCTTTGAATACTATGTATATGTGATAAAAAAGAAAGAAAAATACCGCAATATAAAAACTAACGTTATTATACGTAGTCTGTCTGAATAATTTATGACTGATAATATTTGATACAGAATCTCGGTATAAGAGTAATTCACTAAGAAGTTATTAAAACATCATTTGTAAGGTTTTGTTATGTATATATGCATGTGTATATTTTATATTCTTTTATTTTTTTCCGCAGGAGGGCTAAGATCCAAAGACTGGACACTGATTCGCTATAAAACAGCATTAAGACTTTGTTACGTCTATCATGAATAAAAATTCAATTGTTTTTATCATTTGGCAATTTGTATTAATTCTGTGGAGAAAATTATATAAAGCGTTATTACGTATATTTATGTCAATATATATCTTTTTACGATGTACACACAATTTCTCTCTCTTCCAAATAAACATAAAAAAAAATATATTATCCTCTCATAATTAAAAAAAAAAAGGCACATGGTGACTTGCAGTTCTTTAGAACCTCAAACCCAGCAAGTTCGAGGAGCGTTGGTGTTGAACAATATAACCTGTATCATCGGTAGCGGTGTGTATCAAGTAAGGTATGGTTGAAAGTATTAGTCCACTGTTCTAACTGGAAAATGGTCTGGTTTCAATTATCACCAGATCCACGTTCAAATACCTTAACGATAATGACCCTTTCTGCAAAATAATGTAATCCAAGTGGCTTACGGTCATAACGATCGTGAACAAAAGCGAAGGACCTTGAGAGTTAGCAACATATAGTTGACTTACACGATGGGCAACGGGGTTGTCGGATTTGAAGAAAATTTTAATTCTACTATTACTATTAACCATACTTGTCATAAGACATTAGTATTAGGCCTGTTATTTTTTTACACTACATCCTTTATTTAGTCCCTTTGGGTCTTTCAAGGAGAAGTAGAATGTATAACAGTATTTCAACCTCACAATATCTTATGACAAGCATAATTAATCAAAATCATGCTTTGCCAGCTTAGAGAAGGCATTCACATCATAGCTTTGATATTATTAGGTCGTCAATAAATTAATTAAACCCGAACAACTTGTATATCAAAACAAAACATTTATTAAATGAAATAGTCTCCATTCTTATCGATCATGCTTTTCCATCTTACAATCA